CTTCTCCATCACAAAAAAATATGAAAAATTACCATCAGTCCTATAGCACATGTGCCCACGTTGTGTAAAAAACTCATGATTTTATCGCGCTCCAAGTATTTAATAATATTCACGCTGCATCGTTACCCCAGAACGTCTACTACCGTTTCATTGTCGTCCGTGAGGGGGGCCACAACCCGGAGACGCGTGCCGCCTCTTCGGACATGCCACAACACCACCCCGCATGTATGAGGGCCCGGAACGACGCTCCGGTGGCATTGCTACCCCCCAGGGCCCCCGTCCCGGCTAACCCTGTCGCGTTTGACCACGGGATCTAGCCCTTTGACTTTCCACGGACGGGCTTTGACCAGTGGACCTCTCCACCCGGTTGTGTTAGGTTGGCCCAGAGGAACACTTTGGAGCAACATCCGGGCCAAACCCACAGCTACATCCACTCCGTGTAGACCCGACGCGTCCGTTTCCCCCCTCCAGGTGCCGGCGGCGGCGGCGTCCGTGAGGGGGGGGGGCACACCCCGGAGACGCGTGCTGGGCGTTTGCAACTGCCTCAACACTTCCAGATTTGTGAGAGGCCGCCTACGCAAGATTTGACGGTATGCTAGCCCCCGGAGGCCGCCGACCACAGTCGTAGACGTGCGAAGAGCAATCCGCGTAGAGGGAAGTGTTCAGATACTTCTCCATCACAAAAAATTATGAAAAATTACCATCAGTCCTATAGCACATGTGCCCATGTTGTGTAAAAAACTCATGATTTTATCGCGCTCCAAGTATTTAATAATATTCACGCTGCATCGTTACCGCAGAACGTTTACTACCGTTTCATTGCTGTCCGTGAGGGGGGCCACAACCCGGAGACGCGTGCCGCCTCTTCGGACATGCCACAACACCACCCCGCATGTATGAGGGCCCGGTACGACGCTCCGGTGGCATTGCTACCCCCCAGGGCCCCCGTCCCGGCTAACCCTGTAGCGTTTGACCACGGGATCTAGCCCTTTGACTTTGCACGGACGGGCTTTGACCAGTGGACCTCTCCACCCGGTTGTGTTAGGTCGGCCCAGAGGAACACTTTGGAGCAACATCCGGGCCAAACCCATAGCTACATCCACTCCGTGTAGACCCGACGCATCCGTTTCCCCCCTCCAGGTGCCGGCGGTGGCGGCGGCCGTGAGGGGGGGGGCACACAACGGAGACGCGTGCTGGGCATTTGCAACCGCCTCAACACTTCCAGATCTGTGAGAGGCCGCCTACGCAAGATTTGACGGTATGCTAGCCCCGGGAGGCCGCCGGCCACAGTCGTAGACGTGCGAAGAGCAATCCGCGTAGAGGGAAGTGTTCAGATACTTCTCCATCACAAAAAATTATGAAAACTTACCATCAGTCCTATAGCACATGTGCCCACGTTGTGTAAAAAACTCATGATTTTATCGCGCTCCAAGTATTTAATAATATTCACGCTGCATCGTTACCGCAGAACGTCTACTACCGTTTCATTGCCGTCCGTGAGGGGGGCCACAACCCGGAGACGCGTGCCGCCTCTTCGGACATGCCACAACACCATCCCGCATGTATGAGGGCCCGGTACGGCACTCCGGTGGCATTGCTACCCCCAGGGCCCCCGTCCCGGCTAACCCTGTAGCGTTTAACCACGGGATCTAGCCCTTTGACTTTGCACGGACGGGCTTTGACCAGTGGACCTCTCCACCCGGTTGTGTTAGGTCGGCCCAGAGGAACACTTTGGAGCAACATCCGGGCCAAACCCACAGCTACATCCACTCCGTGTAGACCCGACGCGTCCGTTTCCCCCCTCCAGGTGCCGGCGGCGGCGGCGGCCGTGAGGGGGGGGGCACACCCCGGAGACGCGTGCTGGGCGTTTGCAACCGCCTCAACACTTCCAGATTTGTGAGAGGCCGCCTACGCAAGATTTGACGGTATGCTAGCCCCCGGAGGCCACCGGCCACAGTCGTAGACGTGCGAAGAGCAATCCGCGTAGAGGGAAGTGTTCAGATACTTCTCCATCACAAAAAATTATGAAAAATTACCATCAGTCCTATAGCACATGTGCCCACGTTGTGTAAAAAACTCATGATTTTATCGCGCTCCAAGTATGTAATAATATTCACGCTGCATCGTTACTGCAGAACGTCTACTACCGTTTCATTGCCGTCCTTGAGGGGGGCCACAACCCGGAGACGCGTGCCGCCTCTTCGGAAATGCCACAACACCACCCCGCATGTATGAGGGCCCGGTACGACGCTCCGGTGGCATTGCTACCCCCCAGGGCCCCCGTCCCGGCTAACCCTGTAGCGTTTGACCACGGGATCTAGCCCTTTGACTTTGCACGGACGGGCTTTGACCAGTGGACCTCTCCACCCGGTTGTGTTTGGTCGGCCCAGAGGAACACTTTGGAGCAACATCCGGGCCAAACCCACAGCTACATCCACTCCGTGTAGACCCGACGCGTCCGTTTCCCCCCTCCAGGTGCCGGCGGCAGCGGCGTCCGTGAGGGGGGGGCACACCCCGGAGACGCGTGCTGGGCGTTTGCAACCGCCTCAACACTTCCAGATTTGTGAGAGGCCGCCTACGCAAGATTTGATGGTATGCTAGCCCCCGGAGGCCGCCGGCCACAGTCGTAGACGTGCGAAGAGCAATCCGCGTAGAGGGAAGTGTTCAGATACTTCTCCATCACAAAAAATTATGAAAAATTACCATCAGTCCTATAACACATGTGCCCACGTTGTGTAAAAAACTCATGATTTTATCGCGCTCCAAGAATTTAATAATATTCACGCTGCATCGTTACCGCAGAACGTCTACTACCGTTTCATTGGCGTCCGTGAGGGGGGCCACAACCCGGAGACGCGTGCCGCCTCTTCGGACATGCCACAACACCACCCCGCATGTATGAGGGCCCGGTACAACGCTCCGGTGGCATTGCTACCCCCAGGGCCCCCGTCCCGGCTAACCCTGTCGCGTTTGACCACGGGATCTAGCCCTTTGACTTTGCACGGACGGGCTTTGACCAGTGGACCTCTCCACCCGGTTGTGTTAGGTCGGCCCAGAGGAACACTTTGGAGCAACATCCGGGCCAAACCCACAGCTACATCCACTCCGTGTAGACCCGACGCGTC